AGAGAGCGAGAGGGAGAGAGCACAGTTATGACACCTTCAGGGGCTGGGACTGAGAGACAGAGAGAGAGAGAGAGAGAGAGAGAGAGAGAGAGAGGGAGAGAGAATGTGTAAGGGGGTGGAAAGAAAGAGAGAGAGAGAAAGAGATTATTTTTCCTTTTAGAAATCATCAAGCACTTCTCCAGCTTTCAACCCATTATTGTATCTGGAAACATTCCTTTGCCCAGGATACTTACTCTGGCTATATGATGGTTACTTTTTCTGCATCATCTGTGAAAATGTTAGAGCATTCTAGTAATCTTTGCCATGGTAACAATGAAGGCGAGGGATTCCATTTCTCTGCCGACTACGGTAATTTGCTTGTGAGAGAGTCGCACCATTAACCCTGTTGCTTCTAAGAATGCTAAAAAGAGTGGCCACTTGATAGAAGTCAAGCTTTTTTATGTATCATTGTAGTATTAGTTACTTTTTGAACCTTTTCATGATCTTTCAGATGCAGAAAACTACTTGTGAAACACTAGTGGTGAAGGATCTTTTCTTCTGTATTGTGACATACTTCCGAACATAACAGATTATCGAAAAAGACAAAATGTAGAGCAGGGATTTGGTTCTTGGTTTGGTTGTTGATTGGATGTTAACATGTGGGCATTGCACTCAAAAAATGGATGCAGACGATACTTGAGCATGGGGTTTAAGCAAACGAAATGATTGTAAAAGTCTGGCATACGTCACAGAAGGTCCAGTAATGATATTTTGTTACGAATTACAAAGCCAAAAAGTACAAAAAAAAAAAAAAACCTGTTTGTCAACAACATGTTAAAGTTGTGACACAAGAAATACAGTTTCTGGGTCCAAACCTCTACTTGTTTCAATTGAGAGCACGCAATCTCAACAGCCGTTTATAAGCACTATTTATTCACACATTCAAACTAAAAACTTTAAAAACTAAAGGTATAAACTACAGTCTCTGGGCTCACGTTGTCCTGGGCACCAATATTTTAATAATTCATAAAAGATGAATCGCTGTCTGGCCATCTGAGATTTCTGTATGGAGATAAAGGTTAGCATCATGATTTTTCAGTAGTATTACAGCACATTGTGAGTGAATATTAGCACCGTTTATTGTTTGCTTTTGGGATTTGATAGAACGTTTGGACCCAGTGACACGTGACATCAGACTTAACAAGCGGATTGAATGAGCACCTACATTGAGAACGTTGCTTTATGATGCAGCGATTCAACCAAAGGAGATTCTGCTGCTTAATAGTTTATTTTGTAGAAGGGACCGTGTGGATAATTGGGGCAGTGTTTTCACTGGAATGTACACAAGACGATATATGCCAGCAGCTAATAATGCAATCCATCAGCCTAGTCAACCAGATAAATCTGATCTCTTTGGAGGACTTCATAAAGTTCTAGTTGTCCTTTGGCCCAGATACCATTAATCGAGAGTTCATGAGTAGTCTTTTAGTGCAGAGAAGTCTCCGAGTGCTTTTGTAGAAGACGATGAAAATACTGGTCCGTACTGGCCAAGGGGTTTATGCCAAGATTTATACCATCAGGATGCACCAAGCAGATGTATCTGATGGGGTCTCTTACATGCAAAAGCCTGCTTTCAGGTCACACCCAGCTGAAAAGGTCCCATAAGGACAGAGTGGTGTTTATTTGTTGTTGTCGTGAAGCGGGATGGAAGTTAAGATGTCAAAGATGGGCTGGTATGAGTGCAGAAGGCAAACAGGATTTAGATGATTATCTTACGATATTGACATGTGTGGTCATAGTTCTTTTTAACACAAACATGTTTGCCTTCTGAGTGTCTGTCTATGCTGCAGAATAGTTCTGTTTATCGGTTACGAATACCATTGAACAATCCCGATTTGATAGGCCTACTATAGTTATTTAACTTCTGGAAAGCACAAAAGGTTGGAGCGTTCCTTGTTTGGGGAGATGTCGGCTGGCTGATGTTCTCTTATTAGAGTTGATTAGTCTTGGCAAAGAATGCAAAAAAATCACCTGCTGTCTGACATTCCCATCCGTGCCACAGCACGACCCCGTTCTCTGTTTCCACATGTTCTGGCTAGAGAATGTTCCAAGAAGTGTGCCAAACTGATGGGGTCTCTCTGCTTCCAGATTCACCAGATTACACGATTTTCCTCCTCATCTCTGTCTACAAGTCAGAGTTCGATGGTTCCAGCCCTTGTGTTTCTTTTTAAACCTCGCTGCTTCCATTTGTCAGCAGTTTCTCAGTGTAACTTATACCAAAATTAAGATGCATGCATCATCCTGTCTTTCAGATGTCATGCTCGCTTACAGTATAGTACATTCCACTCCTGCAGTCATTACGAGTAACCATTATAAGGGGCCCTTAGATTGTGCCAAATGTTCTGTAACCCACTTTTCAGTTGTGTGAGCCTGAGGTAATAGAGTGCCAGACCGTTTTGATAGTCTGAAAATACATCCTCACAGTGAATGAAAAATGGAAGTAGTTGTGTCAACACTTGTGTTAATAATGATATTTGTGTCACTTCATGACATGACTCTCTGGAATACTTGATTCTGATTGGCCATTCTTGGCATTCACTAATCAGATATTTCACAATAATAACCATTGACCAGAGAAACGATGTATAACTGACCACACATCCAGGATGGATGTCTCTCTTTGGTCTTTACAAGTAAAATAATCACCAGTCAATAATTAGCTGTGAGATAATTTACAGTGTGTTTTTGATTTATCAAATGTGACTGTGGCAATATTCAAGCGATAATATTCAGTCAGCTGGCCATTATTGCAGAATAAACCTACCCTATTGGGTTTATTTTTGCGATAATGACTGAATATTGTCCCTTAAATATAGCCACAATCGTATTAAAAAAAAAATCGGAACAAGATTCGACGATGATAATGCAATACATTTATTTTTTTATCTATAAAATAGGACCAAACTTGCCTATATTTTTACATTTCTCAATGTATTCCTCAATGTTCTCATTTTCAGAAGGTTTTGAAAAATTATTTATATACTTTATGCTTTATTCATGCTTATAACATTATATGTAGGATGTAAAATGTATCAAAAGCTTGTTTTTCCTGCACAGTTCGTAAAGACCACTGCGACTCGCTGCGAAGTTTCTCATTGGTCAAACGCCTGTCAATCAACTCCGTGTCGCCTTTCATTGGTGCGCTGCATTCATTCCTCCACTGACGCCATCCAGGAAGAGCCGCTCTCACTTCTGCGAAGTTTGTCAGGTAGTTTAGCTAATGGAGTCGGTAGCTAGAAGTAAACATAAGTGGCCTTAGAATGTTTTAACGTCTTACCCACTGATGTACAGAAGGTACGTACGTGACGGCATAATATTTAGATACGTTACACTTTAGACATTTAGCGGTTCTGTCATTTTTGTATTTTATTTCGAGTAGGCCTCAAAGCTAATAATTTGTTAGCTGTGCAAGTTGATTAGCTGTGATTGAAACTAACCTGCTAGTACGAATTATTGCATCTATTACGTAATGATTATTTTCCTTCTGTGTCAAATATGATACAAACTTTTCTTTAAACATACAAATAGTATTTAAATAGTGCGCTGTTGTAACACAGGTTAAGTGACAGTTTATTGTTGACACTATATGTAGCATTGATGTTGTCGGTGTTAAAAAGTCTGACTTTTTATGAGAAACAAATAATATCTGTATCTGTTGCTAAATGCTGTAGGAAGTGCCACCATGTGATTGACATGATAATTATGACAATCTAGAATTATCCTCTGTCATATCCTGGATGTATGAATGACAGCTGACACGTTACATCTGTCGAGACCTTTATAGATAACTCCTCCTAGTAGTGTAATTTGTTGCATGCGTGTATAGGCCAAATATGACAATAAGGCTCTATGATAAAATAAAACGTTCTGTGAACGACTGATACTGGGGATGTTTATACAGTTGACTCAAGATGATTAAGCATTTAGTGCTGAGTGTTGTTCATCTTAGGTGTAGGTGGGGAGAAAATATGCATCCCATTTCCAAACCATTGCACACTTTAGAGTAGTAGTTCTCAAACTTTTTTTTTGTCAGCCGAGAACCTTAGATGTTAAATTTTTACTTGAAGCATTTTTTTTATTATTATTATTTATATATGGGGCTGCACGACTTGGCCAGAAATTACATTGTAACTATTTTGTCATATATTGTGATGATTTCAGTGATAACATTTAACAGAATATGCTGGACTGTAAATAGACTTAAAACTCTTTTTAGTTCATTACATTGTGCTAACCCAATGAAATAGATTATAATAATGTTAAGCTTGATAATATTAATAAGTACTTTTATTATTAGTTTTAACTAATTATAACAAATAAATGCAGAAATATATTACAATTGTACTGTAGAATAAAACTTGTTTACATTAATAATTATAATGTTATCCTATTTTACTCTTAAAGTTACAACAGTAATATTTAGCCTATGTTTTACATTCTTCACTTTCAAACATTCAAACCAGTAAGCTTTTAACATTTCAAATCCTCAAGCTTTTATTTTGGAGGAATACTGGTGAATTGTTTTAAACTTCTGTCCACAAAAATTCTGCAAGTTATGTGAATAAAGTGAATCTAGCATATACAGAGATGGAGTTTGTTAGAACCAGAATTTAATGTGAATGCAAATTGACAAGATATGTATGTTGCGATTTCAGTTCATTTAAATTAATTGTGCAGCTCCATTTGTTCATTTTAATTTTACATTCAATTTAATTTATTATTAGTTAATTTTCATCATCTCATGAACTCTTGTTTAGGAAACCCTGCACTAGTAGTTAAAAAACTAAAAACATGATTAGAAAATGGCTAAAAGCCGTATGATCTGTCCACAGCTCATTATGGCAATTTGTGAACAGCAAGTCCATCATTACTTACACTTCTCGTGTCTTGAATGAGTTGTGAATCTCAGATGCTCAATCTGAAACCTTTAAAACTTACAGCGTCTGTTTTCCACTCCACAGATCTATGAGATGGATGATATCAATTTACACTACAGATTTCTGAACTGGCGGCGCAGGATCAGAGAAATCAGGGAAGTCCGTGCTGTTCGTTATCAAGAGCGATACAAACGAATGTTGAAGAATGGAGACACGCTAAGGTAGGTTTGCCCAGCAAGTGACCCTAGCTCTGTTCTTTTTCCACTGTGTTCGGTAATCAGCTCCTGGCCTGTGTTGACCCCCCTAGTTTGTATGGAAATATTCTGCACTGCTTTTCATTTATCCTTATTTATTTGTATATTTTGAACTGCACAACCATCCACTCCCATCAATATCATTGAGCTGGGCTTGCGAGCGTAAAGCATTGTGAGTGCGTGTATTTGAGCCACTAAAGATGTAACCAGCCTCGACTCACTTGACCTCACTGATTGAAACAATTATAATTTCAGAGAAAAAGTCAGTGGCTACTTGTTTTTTTTTTTTATCAGAGTAGGGATGAAATGCAAATTCCATCCGTCGGAAAAATAATAAAAAAAAAAAAAAATACAACATGTTATGTTTTAATTCATCTTTTTTTAAATGCGAAGTCTCCAGCATTTTCAGAATTAATTTGTATCAGTTTGTTTGTCCAGTTTGAGAATTCAAAGTGTGCAAAAAATGTGTTCACTGACTTCAAAGGAATAGTTCTCTCAAAAATATTGTAAAGAAGTATATTGAGATTTTTTACAAATATTTTGGAAGATTCTTGTCCTCACCAAGGCTGCTTTAATATGATTAAAAATACAATAAAACAGCAATATTGTGAAATACTATTGCAATTTCAAAGAACTGTTTTTTGTTTTAATATATTTCAAATAGGGATGGGTGATATCGTTTGCGATATACCGTTAAAAATTCTCCCCACGATAAGAATTAGACTTCCCGCGATAATAACGAAAAAGTCTAGTTGTTGACATATTTCTGTGTGCGACAGTGCGGAGTGACATCGCGGAAGGCAGTCGTCAAATTGAAGAGGAATAGTCTACATCGCTAAATGAGGAGCTCGAGCTCATTTTACAATCTGTACAAATACAGTGTACAAAAAATCGGTCTGAATAAATGCACTACAGTAGCACGTGTGCGATACAGTTTTGCATGTGTATGAGCCTGTTTACAAACCTGTTGTCCAACAAAGATATAATTTATCGACATGCTTTTTCTTCAAATTAACAGTCGAGTTTATGAAATACTTCTTTTTGTGGCCAGACGTGGTTTCATATTACAGAATGATAGTTTTATATACAGTGATAAAGGCCATGTTGATTAACATTGCATTATAAATATACTTTCCTTATAAAAATACCCAAGATTGAAGAACGCAGATAAATCATATATTTTGTGCAATCGTATGTTTATTTTCCTCAAGTTTCATCAGTTAAAATGTCTATCTCCGTTGTGCGTTTTATTCAGCGATAACTGGATACCTTCCTGGAGCGTCGTCAGTAGTATTACTTCTGATATGGATATATGGATTTCTGTGCAAGAGCACCCTCCGGCTTCCAGTATGAATTAAACAGTCTTTACATTACGTGTGTACTCATTAATGCTCACAACACCCTATTTTGGGTAAAAATAGGAAAGATAATACTTTTCTCTAAAGAAACAGGATTCCCTGAATTATCGTCATTGATATCGTTACCGCAATAAATCCCAGAAATATCGTCATTTATTTTTAAGCCCATATCACCCATCCCTAATTTCAAAATAGGGCTGCACGATTATGACAAAAATCATAATTGTCGTTTATTCCTTTGAAATTGTAATTGCGATTATTAATTTGCGATTAAATTAATGATGTTTACACCTTTGTTTGAAGCAACTGCATGCCATATTTTTATATGAAAATAAACAAGCTGAAAACACTAACTGAAAAACATTTATTGCTTTTCTATAGTATTAAGCCTCAAATGTCAACTATACATCGGATTGGTTTCTCTTTAAATAAAAAGGTAAAAATATGCATGGTATTATAATGTTATACTAAAACTAAAATTAAAACAATGGAAAAACCTTTAAGATAACGTAGAAAGAAAAAAAAAGCATCTTAAGCATGCAGAATAACATAAGTGGACTTTGAACGATTAATTACTGCTTTGAACGATTATGTAATTGTGGCACCCGTAATTGTAATTGTGATTAGAAATTCGATTAATTGTGCAGCCCTATTTCAAAATGTAATTTATTCCTGTGAGGCAAAGCTACATTTTCAGCATCATTACTCTAGTCTTCAGTGTCACATGATCATTCAGAAATCATACTAATATGCTGATTTGCTGCTCAAGAAACATTTCTTATTATTATCAATGTTGAAAATAGTTGTCTTAATATTTCTGTGGAAACAATAGCCCCTTTAACATAGTAATACTAGTAAATTAGCCGTAAAATTACTGGAACGACTTCACCGGTAAATACAAAAATGTGCTGTTCACACAAGCAACGACGTTCCGTCTTTTTACCGGCTTTAAATAAAAAGGTAAAAATATGCATGGTATTATAATGTTATACTAAAACTAAAATTAAAACAATGGAAAAACCTTTAAGATAACGTAGAAAGAAAAAAAAAGCATCTTAAGCATGCAGAATAACATAAGTGGACTTTGAACGATTAATTACTGCTTTGAACGATTATGTAATTGTGGCACCCGTAATTGTAATTGTGATTAGAAATTCGATTAATTGTGCAGCCCTATTTCAAAATGTAATTTATTCCTGTGAGGCAAAGCTACATTTTCAGCATCATTACTCTAGTCTTCAGTGTCACATGATCATTCAGAAATCATACTAATATGCTGCTTTGGTGCTCAAGAAACATTTCTTCTTATTATCAATAAGAAGAAATGCTCCTAACAATCTGGATTGCATTAGATTCTTTTGTCTCAAGAAACATTTA